GTTGGGCGGCCGTTGAGCAGCCGTTGGGTGGCCGGCACGTCGTTGGGGCGGTGTCTGCCGCCCGCCCCGCTGCGTGGGTCCGCAGCGAGCTGCACCGCGGGGAAGGGTGTGCGGTTCCTGGGTTTTAATCCGCTGGAGTGGGGAGGGAGGGATGGACAGACGGATGGGTGATGAGCGCGCGGCTAAGAAGGAATGCTCCTTCAAGTTACCAGGCTTCAGTGCCTGAAAACTGTGTCTCTGCCCGAGTGCTTCAGTACAATATAAAAGTATCCTGATTGCTTGGGGAGACCTGGGACTCTTTGTCCCCACAGGTTGCCCTGGGGCGAATCACTCAGTAAATCACGCTCCCTCCAGCATTTGCAGGATCAGACTTGAAATTGTACGGATACAAATCCTCCACCCACAGTCCTCTTCTGGAAGAAAGCCCTGTGGCTTTTTTCTGTAGCATTTGTGTGGGTAAATCCAAGCTTTGTGCCAGGGGTGTACAGTGCCAAGCACTGTCACCCCATTACAGCTGTATGCCCAACTGTGCAAGAACTGTATGGTTCTTACTACCACACAGTTACCTAGGGGTGGGATTTTGTGATCGCTGAGACTGTATACCTTTGCCGAATTAAATATTGGCCAATACAAATGTAAAATTCCCATTGGTGTCAGTGCATCCAGTGTTTTACCCATGGGAGACAAATCAGCGCCTAGCAAAGGGTGGTTTATAGAATCATAGAATCATTTAGGTTGGAAACGACCTTTAAGATCATCAAGTCCAATGGTTAACCTAGCACTGCCAAGTCCACCACTAAACCATGTCCCTAAGCACCGCATCTACACCTCTTTTAAATACCTCCAGGGATGGGGACTCAACCACTTCCCTGGGCAGCCTGGTCCAGTGCTTGACAACCCTTTTGGTGAAGAAATTTTTCCTAGTCTCTAACCTAAACCTCCCCTGGTGCAGCTTGAGGCCATTTCCTCTCATCCTATCGCTTGTTACGTGGGAGAAGAGGCCGACCCCCCACCTCCCTGCAGCCTCCTTTCAGGTAGTTGTAGAGAGCAATAAGGTCTCACCTCGATCCCCTCATGCAAGAGTGGTGTGGAAAGAATGAAGCATCTGCACTGCATATATGTTATATGTTCATCTGCAAGTGGTATTCTTGGTTACATTTTTCATATCAGAAGAACTGAGCATGATACATGCTAAAGTGTTTTTGCAATATGGCATGAATAATTCTCATAGTTTCTACAGCAGAAGCACGCAGGAAGTGTGATTACTGATTAAGTTATTGCTGGTTTAAGATTGGTTTAACATGTGGGTTTTTTTCACTTATAAACAAATTGTATTTCAGCTGAAGGCAGGGAACGGGATGGCAAACTCCAAGATATTTAAGGTTCTCCTTTGTTTATCTTATTATATGGATGAAGAAATGTTGTTCATAGACATGTTGTGCTGGAATATTCCTTCACATTTTTAAAAGCTTTTATTTTTATAGTTTGAACTTTTCCTGTGTTTGCTTTCTCATCAGGAATGATCACACAAGCCCTGATTTGAATTGAGTAGTCATAAAAAGCGGGTTTTGTTTTTGCTAACCTGAATAGTCAAGAAGCAGCTTTGATTTTTTATTTCTTTTGTGTAGTCAGGGAATAAAAAGGTGAATGTGATTTTCATTCTTGAGCAAAACTGTTCAACAGAGTGCAGAGCTAAAATGTACAACAAACTGCACCGGCACTCAGCGAAGGCCTGAAATGATTCCCTGAAACAATTCAGCAAATGATTTTATACAGCAAATAAATTTGAGAAAACTGCTTATGAATGCAGCTAAGGAAGTGGCTAAGCTAAAATTCATTGAGAAGGCTGTTCTTTCAGCTCTGCATTTTTGCCTGGAACTTGAATTCACCATACCCTCTGGTATTTTCTTATTCATGTTCTTCTAGAAGTCCAGGTGTATATTCTACTTTCCATGTGGTTGTGGCAGAGCCAGTGGCGGGGCGGGGGGGTTGTGCCTCCAACTCTTGCCTGCCACTCGCAGGTCTGTCTACCAATACACAGAACGGTAAATGGGAGCTGTACTTCATAGACATAAATTTCACAACTCACAGATGGTATTGGGCATCTGGGAATGACAGTGTCGATCTTGCAGAAGAAATAATAGTGGATAGTATCTGTTACAAATGCTTTTTGATGGGAAGTTTTCATGTTGGTACTGAATTGATGAATACAATGAAATTTTCGATTTATGTAGCTGTGACTGCCAGAACTGCCTCAGTTGAAACGGTTTATTAAAAACTTTTGTTATTGATGGAAGCCAAAGCTCCATGGAGGCAAAATGAAAGAAGGCAATTTGTGTGCATTAGTGCATTTATGTGTTGTACTCCCTGCATGCAACATTTTCATCCATTTTCATTTTCCCATGGAACAGGAAACACTTTTAATCTGATCTGTATGTGACTTGCGATTGTGGGCAAGCACTGGATAGGATTTTTTTTTATTTCCTTTGTGCTCTAAGTGGGGATGGTGATAATGAAAGAAAGGTAACCATCTGTACCAAAAGACTCCATGCTTTCAAGAGCAGCTTACACTTCATTTGTGGTGTTTGCTTAAACACAGAGAAGGTGACTCAGAGTTTTGGAAAATGAGAAAGCACGGTACCTGCTCCTTTGCTAGGAGGAATGTTCCCATTTGTGTATCACAGCTTTCAGGTTCCTGTTCCATGAAGGATAAAACAAGGAAATTTCCTTCTCTTTTCCCATAAATCCTTGAGCTTAAATTCCTTCCTCAGAAAGGCAATTTTCAAAGGCACAGGAGAGTGTTAACTCACCACTCATTTGCAATGGCAGTAGGGTTTCCACTACGCAGTGCCATGCCATTCATAGGCTAGAGAAAGGTGCGCAACGAGCTTGTCTAGCCTAAGTGTAACACACGAGGTTACCACGGTTACGTTTCCACAAATCTCTCATGCTGAGTGCTGCCCTTCCTCTCTCTGGTTCTGCTGCTGGGTGAGCAAGCAAGAAGTGGTTTCCTGGTTTGCACACAAGGCAACATTCCTGAACGTAATGCAGCCTCTTGGTATGTTCCCAGTAGGCCAGAACATGTAAATATCCTCTGGTTTCCATTCTCTCAGCTGTTCCATATGAAAATCTGAACAACAGCTTATCAAACTTGGTATTTTCTTCTCTGTTTTTCCTAGCCAGTTTGCATTCCTCATCTCATGAAAACAATCTGCATTGTATATAAATATTTATTGTGCAGCACTGATGAGAATACCTACAAGAACCAGTGTCATCTCTGTGTTTACCAGTGGCAAGAGTCATGTTGGTGTTCTTTGTACCCAGGGCCTGAGGACATGCTTGAACCAGAGGCATATTCAGGGGCCCTACCATGGCAGTGAACGAGCATCGAGAAAGTTGGTTTCATG